GTCTCTAGTTCCAGGGAATCTGACAACCTCATACCAATGCACATAAAATAAAATTAAATAAATTATTTTTAGAAAACCTTTTGGGTCTGAATCAAATAGGGAAAGTATACATCCCATGGGAACTCAACACCAGGGCTACTCACTGGCCTCAATGCCAGACATTTCTTAATGGCAAAGAGGTAGAAATGTAGGTTCCAAAAGGGCCAGGAAGCCACCAGGCACCAGGGGTGAGAACTTTCTAGGTTTCTTCCTGAGAATCCAAATTTGTATACTAAGACTATCTAGGAGAATCTCCAGGTTTCTCATTCAGAGGCCATCTAATATGAGTTTACTCCACAGAACAGCCAGACATCTGGAAAATGGTAGGCACAACAAGCGAGACTTGCTCTCTCCTTCAGCCCCATGACCAAAGGCACAGCAAGAGAACTTAGGAAGGCTACAAGGAGGCCAGACAAAAGGATGCACTGTCTTTTGTCATAAATGGCCATAAAGAGATGTTGCCACAGGTCAAGTCAGTCTAAGACATCCTGTGCCTGTCTTCAAATTCAGGCTCAGCAGACTACATCCTCTGAAACTAGACAGATGTTCTCTTACAACTCTTAGCCTTTCAAATGCAACTAGGTATTTTCATTGGAGCCTGACTCCCTCAAATCACCACCCAAAGTAAACCTTTAGAACTATGCACCTACTGGGTGCTTCCTCTTACAATTTTTTTCTACAGGGCAGGGGAGGCACCCCACCCCCACCCCCAGAACTTGGTAGGCAAAGGGAGATTGAACTCTATGAGTTCAATCTGGTCTACAGAATGAGTTTCAGGACATCAAGGGCTACACAGAGAAACCCTGACTCAAAAAACAAACATTTTTTTCCCTTTTTTGTTGTTATATCTTTTTATTTTTTATTTTTCTTTTGAGATCTGCCTGCCTCTGCCTCTCTGAGTGCTGGGATTACAGGCATGTACCACCCTGCCCGGCTATTGTTGAGTCTTAATCCATCACCAGATATACTCAATAAATTGACAGACAAGTCTAAGAGTTCCTCAGGCAAACTCCAAGAGGGCTAGGGCTGGAAAGCAAGGGTTAGTCAGCATATCTAAAAGATCCCCTTGTTTCTGAGTGGAGAGGGCTGTGTGGCAGCCAAGCCACGACACTTCTCCTGCTGTGAATATCATCTGAAGTCCTCTCAATACCAATGGCAACAGCAACAAAGCCTGACCAGGAATAAACCACTAGGCTGGCCTTAAAAAGACATGAGGAAAAGATCCAGGAGACTATCTCTATGATGTACAGGGGAAGGACACAGCTAGCAAGAATGAGAATAGCAAACATAAATGTAAGAGAGCTTTTGAGAAGTTATGGGTTAGAACCAGCAGCCAAATGACAGGGCTTACTTCAGACCTGTCATTAAAACCTGTCAGGAAACCCAGACCAACATCAAATGACATTTGTGGGCAAGGATCACCAACCAAGAAAAGTAAAACCCAAGCCTGCCAGTTAGTGTGTCACAATCCCTGGACCTGAGTGCCAAACAATATTAGCAAACTGCTAGGATCCTGCTAATTCATACCTGTTAAAACTGTGGGACTATAGAGAAGGTACATCGGGCTTACTTACAACCAGCTATAAATTCTAGTTCCAGGAAATGCAGAGCCTTCTTCTGGCTTCTGAAGGCACCTTCCTATATGTTGTACACTTCCACATACTTTCGATCATGCATAAACACATAAAACAATACGTCTAAAAATGAAAATCAACAACAAAACATCATGAATATCAATCAAGCCTTGGAGAAACAGATCAACTGCTTAGCTGCCACGCCTGCCAATCTAGTTCAATCCCCAGGACCAACCCAGTGGAGGAAGAGAAAAGACGCTTGCATGTTGTGCTCTGATCTTCACATGTGCTCTGTGCTACATGCACATATACACAAACACAGACATACAAATAAAATATAAAAAAGACAAATAATCTGTGGGTAGTTATTCAGACACACTCTTATAATCCCAGTACTTGGGAGGCTGAGATAGGACTGCTGAGCTCAAGAACAGCTTGAGCTAAGGGTGAGACCCTATCTCAAAAAGAAAAAAGGGAGCTGGGCATTGATGGCTCATGCAGAGGTAGATGGATCTCTGTGGGTTCAAGGCCAGCCTGGTCTACAAAGTGAGTCCAGGACAGCCAGGACTCTTGTTATACAGAGAAACCCTGTCTTTAAAAAAAAAAAAAAAAAAAAAAAAATCCAGTGTGGTAGCATTGGGAAGGCAGGCAAGGCAGAGGCAAATAAATCTTTATGATTTTGAGGACAGCCTGGTCTACAAAGTGAGTTCCAGGCTGACCAGGCAGGTAAAATGAGACCCTTCGAAAAGTAAAAGGAGGCTGGGGAGATGATTCCAGGATTAAGAGCCCAAACATACTGCTCTTGCAGAGGACTGAAGTTCAGTCCCCAGAACCCTAAGGTAAGGTGACTCATAAGACTTCCTGGAACTCTATCTCCAAAGCATTCAACTACTTTTTCTGGCTTTGTAGGCACTGCACCACCACCATCTCCTCCCAAACAAATGACTTCAAAAAATTTTTTCAGGCTTTTTGAGACAGGGTTTCTGTGTAGCCTCAGCTGTCCAGGAATTTGCTCTGTAGACTTGGCTGGCCTTGTACTCACAGAGATCTGCAGTGCCAGGAGCTATAACCCAACTAAATCTTAAAAATTCTAAAAAGCAACAAAACAAAGAACAAGAAAGAGGTCAGTCAGGTGTAGTAGCACATACCTAAAATCTCAAGATCTGGAAGGTAGAGACAGAAGAGAAAGAAACTCAAGATCAGCCGTGGCTATATAGCAAGTTCTAGGCCAGCCTGGGCTTAGACCTTGAAAGACCCTGTCTTCAAAAACACAAAGACAGCATACATCTTTAATCCCAGCACTCAGAAAGCAGAGGACAGCCAAGGCTAAACACACACACACACACACACACACACAAAAGGAAAGAAAAAACAAAAAGGGATACTCACATGAAAAAAGATGATGCATGACTATAATAAATGAAAAAAAACAATCAAGAATAGTCTTGTTTTTAGACAAGAGTATCATGCCTTCTCAGTTTTAACAGAATCAAACCTCAAATCATCTTTATGAAAATCACCATGCACATGCAGTGACACAAGAGGACAAGAATGGCAACTCCTGTGAAGGCAGAATAGCTACCAACAAGAGCACAGCAAAGAAACCAAATTACATAGACACAAAGCAAGGAGGCCAGTGACCCAAGTCTGTTGGTACATTGCTATACTACGTCTGGCTGTTTACATCTCATTAACATGTCATTCACAGTAAAGCTATCACCCAGAACAATTTAGTGTTGGGGCTTCCTTCTTAGTGAACACTTGCTAAACATCTATTCAGCATCAACTTTTCTTTTCCTAATTAACATCAGGCCCAATCTTCCTTTGGAGGACTCCTCCCCAACTACTGGGGAATAGCCATGCTGTCTGGGTAAAGTCCCCTAATTTCTTTACAGGATGGCCCTACTTGGCTTAAGTGCAACAATATATCATAAGGTTCTAAGACAGGGTTTCTCAATACTGTAACCTCTTGTTGTGATGAACCCCCCCATCATAAAAATATTTTCACTGCTACTTCATAAAGGTAATTTTGCTAGTGTTATGAATAACGTAAGCTGGGCACGGTGGCACATGCCTGTATTCCCAGCATTCTGGGAGGCAGAGGCAGGTGGATCTCTGAAAGTTCAAGGCCAGCCTGGTCTACAAACCGAGTCCAGGACAGCCAAGGCTACACAGAGAAACCCTATCTCAAATAATAATGATGATTATGATGATGATGATGATGATGATGATGATGATGATGATGATGTAACTATCTGTGTTTTCTGATGGTCTTAGGTGACCCCTGTGAAAGAATAATTTAACAACCCCCAAAAAGGTTGCAACCCACAGGTTGAGAACCACTCCTCTAAGCATTCAGGGACCAACAGGACATAACAGCATCAATGTTCCCCATTAAAAACCAGTAAAGAACCTTCCTTCACTGCTGTGGGAAACACTAGTAAACAAGGGTAGTCAGAGCACAAGTTCACAGAGGCAGCCACCTACATCACAAGGGATCTAACCAAATGGGTTGGCAAGTGGGTTACCTGAACTATAAAGAAAAGGGCTAGTCAGGTATGGTGATGCTCGCCTTTAGTCCTAGCACTCAGGAGGCAGAAGCAGGAGAATCTCTGAGTTTGAGGCCAGCCTAGTCTATGAAGAGTACCAAATTTGCCAGGGCCACATAGTAAGATCCTGTCTCAGAGGGGGATAAAAAAGAAAGGAGGAAGAAAAGAAAAAGAAAGAGAAAGAAAAAGAAAAATATGATATTTCTGACCAAAACATGTGAAACAGTAGCCACTTCAGTCTAAATTTAATCCCAGTAGACTGGATTTTCTTATTCACAACCTAGTGCTTCCTAACTACAGACCACTGCGCGACAAGCAGAATATACCCAAATAAGAATGTAGGGGGAAAGTAACTTATTCGCAAGTACTTGCCTCTAATGCATGAGCCTTGAATTAGATCATTAACACTGCAAACAAAAAACATGAACAAATACCACAGCCAACAAAAGACATGTTGGAAATGAGGTGTAGTGGAGCCTGGCAATAATCTCAGCACATGAAAGGCATAGGATAGGTAATTCAAGGTCATCTTCAGCTACACAGCAAGTTAGAGGGCTGAGGTCTTGTCTCAAAATATAAAACAAGTACTAAGAATGTAGGTCAGTTTGGTCCAATGTCTGTCAACATTCACAGCCTCAGGTTAATCTTCAATACTACATAACCTGTTGGTCCATGCCTGTAATACCAGCATTCCAGAGGTTGAAGCAGGAGACTCAGAAGCTCAAGTCATTTTCAGCTACATAGAGAATTTTTAAGGCTAACCTGGGCTGCACAAGACCCTGTGTCCAAAAACACCCCGAAACAAAATAAAAAACTGTCCTTTAAAATCTTGCTAAGTACCCTCTGACAATGGGCAAAGAGACACCTAGTTAGTGGTGTTGTTCTTCTATCAGTCAGGGGCAGAGCAGATGGCAGTCCTTTCTTTGTTCTATCTTCATGTCTGGCATGGTGGCCAAAGGTATCTTACACCTAGGACTCGTAAAAATCAAATTAAATCAAATCCAGGCAGCACAGTGCAGGAGGAGGAAGATAGACGAGACCTGCAGACCCCATGCCACCCACAAACCTGCCCTCCAGTGCACAGGCACAGGACGGCCACAGACAACCACTTGCCATCACGCCACATCATGCAGCAAGGATATTACCTAGAGGCCTGCCTGTAAAGCATCTTTTTATTCACCTGATGTAATTGTCTCCAGGGCTTATTGCCTTGGTCTTCTAGCTTAGGCCTAGCCCTGGAAGCTTCTAGCCTCCGTACAACCTAATCTAGGCTTCAAATGTTTTCAGCCTCTGAGACTAAGAATAAAGGGTGAGAATAAACTCACACTTTCTAGCTCTTTCTGAATTCTGACTGGCTGGTTCAACTCAGCAGTCTGGCTTAAAACTCCTCTCCAAGCTGACTGATTCAAATTGTCTTCTCTCAGCTTCTGAGTGAACTGCCCTGCTTGGCCTCATACTAATTTTGGCAAATCTGTTCTAATCTTTTGGCTCCTTCTCATTCTCAGGTTCTTTCTATCTTCACCTCTGTCTAGCTTGTTCTCTCTCTCTGCAACCTGTCTCTATAAAATTGCCCCTGAATTCCACAAACTCAACTCCACTGCACTGCCTCTCAACTCACTGACTCAACCAAACTGCCTGAACAGAACTGACTAGAACTCAAAAGATCTACATGCCTGTGTCTCCTGAGTGCTGGAATTAAAGGTGTGCACCACAATGCCTAGACTTAAGCTTTTCTTTACCTAAAACTTGCTCTGTGCCAGGCTGGCCTTGAACTCAGAAATCTGCATGTCTCTGTCCCCCGGGAATAAAGGTATGTTTATATTCCAGCTGGATTACAGAGACCTAGAAGGTCTTTGGATGTGATCTCTTGCCAGAGCAGCCGTGTTCTAAATTAAAATTCCTTTATACAGGGGCTGGAGAAATAGCTCAGTGGTTAAGAGCACTGTCTGCTCTTCCAGAGGTCCTGAGTTCAATTCCCAGCAACCACATGGTGGCTCACAACCATCTACACCCTCTACTGCCTTCTTAGAGCACTAATATGCATAAAATAAATAAATAAATAAATAAATAAATAAATAAATAAATAAATAAATAAAATCTTAAAAATAAAAAAGAATTCTTAAAAAAAAAAATTCCTTTATACCTGCCTGCAGTGGGAACCACCACAATGTGTGAGAATGTGGTGGTCAGATGGGAGAGAAAGAGAAGTGGAGCAGCTTGAGCATTAGAAAGAGAGATGGAACTAGAGACTCAAAGTGTGGGGAGAAGTAGCCTGTTGTGAGTGGCCAGCTCTGTCACCTGGGTCCTTGGTGAGGTCCCAGGCTGAGATGCCCAGTGAGGCAGCTGAGTCCCTGGCTATGCAGCAGCAGGGATTGGTGTCAATGTCCATGGCTCATACTACTACTAGAGGATGCCCCTTGTTGGGGCTGCCACCGGGGACCACATGGCTTATGCCCAGCCCCTTACTGGATGTGGTACTCTGGAGAACTGCTCCAATCTCCCACCTTCAGGTATTATTCAGGAGAGTAGGCCCTGCGCCTCAGCCAGGCAACACAGTGGAGCTGGCCCTGGTGGCAGGGGTGTAGGTGAGCTGGCCGAAGGGTGTTAAGTGTGGGAGAGCTGACCCTGCCCTCATCTACCGTGGGGTGGCACAAACACAGAGGTGATATTCCCCCATCCCCATCCTCTCTTTCTCCCTCGCCACCTCTAGCAGTAGGAAACGCCACCCACAAGGTCATGAGCCCAGGAGAGCTATCCCTGCCCATCACCAACTGCAGCACTCAGGAGAGCAGGCCCTGCACCTCACCTGGGCAACACAGAGGAGCTGGCCCTGATCTGGTGAGCCAGCCCCTTAGAGACTGCATCTGGCTCTGGAGGCATGGGTGTAGAGGATCCATCATGGAGGGCATGAGAGCAGGACAGCTGATTTTGCCCCTGCCAATGGTGGTATTGGGTGGCCAAGACTGAGCAATACTGTAGCGCTCACCCTGCTGGTGCTGATAAGGGAGAACAAATGGGCTGACCAACTCAACTGCCACCCAGGCCCAGATCCAGGGTTCTGAATTTCTCCACCCCAAAATCTATATAATCTGCAAATGGTCGGGACATATAAAAGGGCCAGTCCTGCTGTCCCAAAGCTGCAGGATCTCCATGACACAGGACAACAACAGAATAACCTAGAGGAGTGCCCATGAGGATCCAATATTGATGGTGCCAGAGATCTCAAAGCAGACCAATGACTCACTGCAATGAACATTTGTAAGAGAAGATGTGTGGAGAGAGGGAGATACAGTAGGATACACTGTGACATACTACAGCTTCCATGATGAGATGTTTTCTATGCTTTGTTTTTATTGTTATGTGTGTGTGTGTGTGTGTGTGTGTGTGTGTGTGTGTGTGTGTGTTTTATTTTGGGAGTAGGTTGCAAGAGTGAAGGGTGGATATGAGGGGAAGGGGAGATGAGTGGGACTCGACAAAGAATCAATAAAAACATTTTAAAAAATCTTGCTAAGTAAATAGTTTTAGATAATGACAATGAATAAGAACAGTCTACTTTGAACTGTCTCTTTTGTAAGTGACCAATTTTGAATTCTTTGTAGTGTAGTATGGTCACAGTAAGCTTAACGAACAATCCTGGTCCATCTGTGATTGAAACACCACCTCTAGGATTTCTCTATTAGCCCTGACTGCTTTGGAACTCATTCTGTAGACCAGGTTGGCTTCAAACTCATGCATCTGCCTGCCTCTGCCTCCCAAAGGCTGTGATTAAGGTGTGTGCCAGTATGCCTAACTACTGCTTTTCTTTATAGTTCAATGAACCTCCTTTCTTGACAACTTACTTGACTAGATCCTTGAGCCACCACACCCAGCTCGGTCCTGGTTTTAAGCACCAACCATCTTAGCAACTGGAAAAGGTTTTCAGGTTGGGATTAATGATAAGCTAAGTCTCTAGTTATAAGCTCTGGGAAAATAAGCAGGAAACACAACTCTGCTCACAAGCACCAACTCAGCCAAACAAGCCTCTTATAACAACAATGATACTGAATTTTAGAACAGTAAAGCTTAGGGACAGCCTAGCAAATAAAGGGGGCTATCACCAAGCCAAATGACCGTGTTCCATTCCTAGAACCCACAAGATAAGAAGTGACTCCTACAAGTAGTCCTCTTACCACACATGCGCACACACACACACACACACACACACACAGAAAAATAAAATATTAAAATCCTTTTTACAAAGAGAGGTGAAAAAACATGTTTCAAAGCTATGCTGCTGCTCACATTGCACATGTCTGAACACACACAATCAGAGCACACTTGGACTGATATTCATTGATCAAACCATGGAGAAAAAGGTCCAATTCTGGAACTCCAAGCACAACCATGAGGAGTTGTTGAACCCTCCAACAACTGACTACACAGAAACTGCCCCACTACTCTCTCATCCTCAGAAAAATCCAAAATACTGATTAAAAATAAAACAACAAAAAAACGGCAGGTGGGTGGCACACACCTATAACCCCAGCACTTTGGAGCAGAGGCAGGTGGATCTGTCAGTTTGAGATTAGCCTTGTCGACAAAGTGAGGACCAGGACAGCCCAGGCTACACAGAGAAACCCTGTCTCAAAAACAACAAACAAATAAATAAAAAAACAAGGTCGAGGAGGAAAGGGTTTGGAGATGACTTAGAAGTTAAGAGAGCCTGGATTTGATTCCCAGCACCTACACGTAGGCTCACAACCATCTGTTAACTCCAGTCTCAGGAGATCTGATGTCCTCTTCTGACTTTTGTGAGCAGCAGGCATACATACATACAGTGCACATACATACATACATACATACAAACAAAACACTCACACTCATAAAATAAAATAAATCTAAAATAAAAATAATTAGAATTTTCTATGCGTTTGAATGTATTCCCCTCCCATTATTAAGGGTAGGGTCTCTGATCAAGTTCTTCTATGCAAGACTTGAGTTGTGTGCTCAAGGGTAAAGTTTAAACATTATGACTTCTAAGACTTTTCATGCTTCTAATAATTCACAAAGCCATATGTTCATAACTCACAAAGCCCTATGTTTAGTAGTACATGTGTTACTAAGGAGGGAATTCAAGAGTTTCCTGCATGTTTATGCAGGAACTCTGCTAAGCCTCTACACCTTTTCATTTTGAATCTCTACATGGTGCCCAGATTTTTTTGATCTCCCTGCCTCAGCTTCCCAAGGAGGTGGGATTACACCTGGCAAATATTTTTCGTTGCATTAATGCTGCAAATATAAAAAGGTATCTATTGACAAGTATGAAGGCACCTAAGTAAGAAATAAAACCATAATTCAACAGCAACAGCAACAGCAGCAGCAGCAGCAGCAGCAGCAGCAGAGATTTCAGCTGGGATTGAAAACAAGGCCATCTATTACCAACACCTTTCCCTTGTTCCTTTGCCAGGTCTCCGAGGTGTGTACAGAAAATGGATACCCTGTGCCAAACTCACCTGAGCTCTCTGCCTTCGCTGTACCGTCTACTTGAGGGGGCCCTCGGGGCAGCAGTCTCCAATAACAGCTTCTGGGTGAGCCTGCTGGGGGGGACAGAGTCTCGGCCATCATCCTCATCTGCATCTTGATCACATTTCCATTCTTCATCTTCATTCAAAGTGGGCAGGTATCCAGACATGCCCTTCCCTGTCCCAGACCCTGAGCTCTGGTCACTGCAGACCTTCGGACTCTCTGAGCCTGTCCTTGTGTATTCCAAATAAATGTCAGACTTAAGGAAGGAAGGGTAGGTATTCTCCTCCATGGTGGACTGTATTTCTGTCTGTGCCTGGTCAAACATGGCAGGATCGATCTGCTGCTTCATGACACAGTCCTTTATAAAGCTCTTAGTGGCTGGCTTGGTTTGTCTGGACACAATGCCATTGCTATCCAGAATGTACTTTCGGTAGATGGCTCTTGCCAGCTTCAGCCTCTTCTCCTCATTTGAGTCAC